AGATCAAATCATTGAAATGTTACCCAGAGTGGACCTTTTCCCAGCAAAAGGGGCAGTTCTTTCGAATCCCCCGAACCCCCCTGGCTACGGGCTTGATCAATGAGAAATCAACATTTGATCTTTTAAAAGCTGGAGAGAAACGGTTACGGATGTTCAAATGGTTTAGCAACCTGTCTTCTGGGCAAGAAGGTAAATACCATAAAAAGGTGCCATTCCACCTGATTATATTTCCCCCCAGCCTGTGGCCAATATAAAACGTCCTCATTTCTAACTCCATGATATTTTATCTAAATATTTATGTACCCAAATGAATTAATTCCCCCATTGCAGTATTATAGAATGCTGTAATAAGATTTTGAATATTCCATTTTTTACGTCTTATGTGAGGCTACAATGGTTATTATGTAATAGGCTGTCTTTGCCCAGTATGAAACAAGTTTATATCATGTTATTAAGCTTTAAAGGTCTCCCACATGTATCTGAAGTTTTTGAAGAAATGTAATTTATCTTGGAGAAAAAAGCACAAAGCATTGCTCGACTCCTCCTTGCAATAGAATAGGAAGTTTTGAACTATGTAGTTCTGACATACAGTGGAATATTCACACAAGGTTCAGGTACTTGATGTTTTTTTTTTCACTTTTAGTTCCTGTATAATGTAAAACGCAGCTTTATTTAAACATATATCTGTATAACACTTAGTGATTTTGAAATGGGTACAGTATACCCTTAAGCCTTGTAAACCGAATGTCATTGATTTAAATGAGTACTATGCAGTAGTGCCGATGCCTTTTCTGTAATGAAATATTCTTTAAACAATCACCTGTGTTGTTTTTGATTAGTGTAAAATCAATTTTTCTTAAATGTTATGACAACCTTGTTATAAGGATATGACCCTGACCGGTGGTGATCCTAGAAATAGTTTCAAATGAGCGGCAATATGTAACTTAGTATGAATCGATACTTTAAACATGTTTCTGTGACATAGGGTTATCAAAATATAGACATGATGGCATTTTGTTCAAGCTAAAAATACCATGACCTTGAAAATAAGGTCATGACCTTGACCTCTTGTGGCCTAGAAAGCATTTACAAATAATTCGCAGAACCTCACTTAGTAGGAAATGATACTTAAACATGCTTCTGTGACATCCAATTACAAAAGGTTTAGATAATATGGGAATTTTCTGCTCGAAAAATGCAGTGTCCTTGAAATTAGGGTCATGACCTTGACCTCTAATGACTCTGAATAAATTTGCAAAAGATTGGCGGTGCATTATCCAATAATAGTTAAGACTAACATATGTTTTTGTGACATTAGGGTAACCAATATATAGACATCACGTCATTTTTTTGCTCGCAAAATATAAATATCTTGTGATTAGGTCATGACCTTGACCTCCTGTGACCTTGAAAGTGGTTGCAAAAGATTGGAGATCCCTCACTTAGTAGGAGTTGATACTTTAAACATGTTTCTGTGACATTGTGTTCCCAAGATATGGACTTAAAGGTGACCCACCCCATTCAATGGCGGCCATTTTGGATTTTCGCTGAAAACAGGACTTTGCCATGGGGGGATTCATAGGGGAACTTTTTTGGGTTATATTGGGCCTTCAACGGACCAGAATCAGTTGAGAAACCTTTGTCACCAATTTTTTCCAACCTCAATGGGGAAAATATGCTCGTTTACTGGCCTAATTGAGAAAATATACTTGGAATATACTAGTTCAGTCTCTAGCGCAGTCTATAAAAGTAAAATACAGGTAGCCCTACTAGTTGCTGTGAAGGCAAAATTGACTTCAGAATACTTTCAAGTACGTTTATTATACTTTTAATGGTAATTACTCTAAATGCGAAGGTTTTATATAAGGTGATATTAAATGCTCCATTTGCTCAAATTGAACGTTGTGTTAGCAGTGCTGAGATCCAGCAAAAGTTGAAGCAAAAGGAAAATATATAATAATAACAATAAAAAAGAATTTATAATTACCTTTTTGTAATAATTTATTCTCAATCAATAATCATTAATATCATATATAAACGAAAAATCAAAAGATATAATAACTTGGACGCAGAGTAAAACTGCGGCGCGCTTCATGTGACCGGATGTGCTGAGATGTGACCCAGTATTCACTGCGGGTTTTCGTTGACCTACTTCGGCGCAGCGGGAACATTTTTACACGTTTATATGAAATAGCTTAAGGACAAGACATATTTATGAGCTACCATTCAAGTTTCATCTGAAGCAGTAAGACATTCCACGATTTTGGCATCCTTTTAAATGCATGCAAAGACATTCTTAATGACAGAAGGGTGAGTACTTTTTTGTAGCGATCTGGTACCGGTGTCACGTGAAGAAACCGTCGTCGTGAATAAACCGTTCTGACGGATTATTCACGCAAGGGTAGCAGTCTGCTGACTTACAGTACGTAGCTGCACATGCATTTCCAACATTTCCCCGTAAAGAAAGTTGTAGTATTATCAAACACACAATTTCTTTTTAATGAAAATGACTGAACTCTGAATTGAAATAACATTGTAGAGTGAAAACATTCGAGTCTACGATCTACCACGTTTTTCACACAGAGCAAAACAGTTCAGTCACGATCAAAAGCTCAGTTCCACATTCCCTCGTATACTGTAGTAATAAGATTATCAAATACATACTCTCTCATGACGAAAACCACTGAATTATGAATTGAAAGATCATAGTTCAGTGCAAACATAGCGCCTACTTAGGACGACATCGTGATACCGGAAATTTACTTCTTTCTATTTACCCTCAATGCGCATGTGCAGAACGGTTTCGTCACGGCACGGGTCTATCACGCCACACCGGTATGACAATCAATTTATTCAATCTGACTTGGGTTAATTTTCATTTATTCCACTAGTAAATGGCTGTGGTTCATCTTCTGCTCGGCTGTCACCTTGATTGGATAGTAAACGGTTGTCGTAAAATTGCTAAATGATATTAAAACCGGGTGCATAAACTTGAAAACCACCTAGGACAACCTTAGACTGCCACATTAATCCAATACAATGCAAAAATAAACTATAACAAGTGGTTAAAGCCTTCAAACCGAATGTCGTAAAGTCCCCATATACCTCCATAGAGACAATAAAATAGAGTGAGCTTGTGAAACAAAACTCAACCAACTTAAACATAATAATCGAAATAAAATACTGCCGGGCATCGGAGCAGCCTAAAACTTGGCACGCTTACCGCAAATACTACAGGCTACATCATCCCGTCACTCGTTTGTAAATTCCGTGCATGGCATACGCACAATCAAACCGTATATCCAAATTCCACCTCTGATGTTTATTTCGGTCCTCTCTAACCTCCAATTACGAAAAAGAAGCCATGCCATTGGACAATACGTCCTCTGCGGTTACGTCATTTCCTGAATTGGATTGTGCAGAGGACTGCCGAGAAAAAAAATATAGGTTTGACTTTGACAACTGTTGATTCAGCAGTTAGTCATATCACTGATACAGTGATAGTCTATCCACAAATATAAATACTGGAAAGCCAAAAAAAAAAAAAAATTTTTAAAAGTTTGGGACATTTCTTCATGTAGGATTTGGTGATAGACCAAAATTCTAAATAAATAATAAAATAGAAATAAATACTTGTGCTGGTACACTGTACCTAGTAACAAACTGGTGCTAATAAGGTGCTGTATTGCTTCCTGCAATAGAATGCACAATGATGCAATAAGTGCCATAGATATTGAAATACATACATATATATATATATATATATATATATATATATATATATATATATATATATATATATATATATATATACATGTGTATAATGCATGACAAGTGATATATATAAGTGCTGCTGCAGGTGCATCAGTGTATCTATAAAATGATATATACAAATAAATAATGAATGATAATCAAATAAATAAATGAATATTGTAAATATTGATGGTAACTTTCATATTTCCGATGAATTCCCGGATCAGGAGGAGGAGAGGGGCTTCAGGGAAATATGAATTTTTCTTTTTAAAATCAGTGCCAAAAAGTTTTCATAGTTTTTAGAATTGCCCAAAGTTAAAGAAGTTTCATCATGTATATATATTTCCAGATCCCTGGTTACTCCCTTTTATATAAGGAAGTACCATTTTTAGTTGTGATTTAAAATGTGAGCTGCTTCCACCCCTCTGTGCCCCTCCAGAACCTCTACAGTTTCATAGATTGTATAGGGTGTAGCAAGGGTTCCCTTTTTTCAAGCAAAATAGGGAGCATCAGATTCCAAAAAAAGCTTAGAGTCAGGTACTGCCCTAAGTGCTGCTAGTTGGTTTTTGTTAAAGGTGGCAGCAACACGAGTAAAACCAAAAAAGGTGTTTGGTTGCTGCCTTCCCCAAATTTCATTAAGCTACTATGTGCCTGTAAAGGAGTGAAAATGAATCCTCTGGGACTGCGGAATGCCACACAGTTTCAGGTGAAACAAAAGTGACCTTATGGAGAACTCCAGAATCTCCCTTCACTCCCCTACAATGCACAACCAGGACATGCCTGGCCTCTAGAAAAGGCAGCAGTCTGTGAAGCAACTCAACCTGCTAGGCCAATTAGACCGTTCACAGTAGGTCACGGTCAGTGCGACCGTGACTCCTGATAACCCCCGCGTGGATAATAACAGGTCAAATAGCGACAGTTTAAGCTGTTAAGTTATCAATCGTAACCATCTCGGACTCCCCGCTGTCTACATCGTGTCCCGTCAAGCAGCCTGTGCAATCATACGCCCCGCTAGTTCCAAGCATTGTTCTGGTGTAGAACGGCACGTGCCCTTTGTTAAGACATGGAAGACTAAATGTTGGGTTTAACCATGGTTCAAGCACTGACGATATTTCTGTTTATTCACCGCATTCCGAACTTCGTAGACATTTTCAAAAATAGAATTTTGTAATTGAATGAAATATAATTAATTTACCGATGTTGCCCTTTCATCTTAATTTTGGCTTACTTAGGTGAAACGATAAGAGTCACGATAACATGCTCAAGCCAATTGAAAAAGTGAAGTATGAATATGGCAGAATTATGCGGTGATTGTCTTTTTCAATGAAGTGGAATGTNTTCGTTGCACCCCTTTTAGATATACCTGAAGTAAAATAAAAATTCATACATTAGAAGTTATTATACCGCTAAATATAGCGTACTTTACGGCGCCGTTTTTTGATATAACTGAAAAAGAAAAATATGGAGTAATTATGCTAGTGCTTATGGTGGTGTCTGTGATTCGTGACACCTATTTCGGGAGACGTAAAAAACTGCTTGTCACCTTATTTGGAGGAATCTATTTAAATAATCAAAGGCCATGAGAATATTGATGTTTGCGTTTCTTTAGATGGATCTCACTAAGGGAAATATAGCGACAAATTCTACATTTTAATTAAAACTGTATTTATATGTTACAATACATAATAAGATGTAATATACATTAATTTTGCTACTCACCGGCCCATACATGCACTTTGTAAGGGTGCTTAACTTTCGCTCGCAGTGGGGGTGGTTCACTTATATCGTTGCCTTCGCTGTCGTAGACGACTTTCCGGAATACAAAACGGCCGTGGCTGTCCATTTGTACTGTGCATTCGTCTTAAAGGGAAAAAAATATTTAAATAAATTATTGGATATCGGAATATGTTTGAATTTGAGATGTGTGCACTTTTGCAACTAACGCTCTACAGCTGTTATGTATTTCAAATGCAAGGAAAAATGTCTTCATATTCAAACAGCTGATTGTTTTTGCCTTGAAAGTAAGTTTTGCACGTATTAGAAGAAAATCCAATAGTTTTTCAAAATATCTTTATAAATATTAACCTGTTAAATGAGACAAATGACAGGTCGAATAAGTAAAATCTATGATTGGTAAAGCCGTACCAGTCCATATCACATCTTCAAATTTGTCTTCTACAACCAATGCCTCTTTACACCATTGCACCCTCTTTGGTCTGTTCACGAGTTTCACAAGTTGACAATACCCCTTCCTACTTCGGATCCATCCCAACTTCCTGCGCATTCTCTTCACTGATGCCAAACTGACTTCGAGACCTAAATAAAAATGAAAAAATTACAAATAACTACACGACACGACGACGTACTCAACGAGACGCAAAAAAATGTTGTCATCGTTATGGGAATGTTTGATAAATATCTGGAATATATGAAGATTTGAATATTTAGCGTTAAAATGAAATTAAGAGCATGGGACATCACAAGTAGTACACATGTAGATTATCGCGTGTTGATCCGTGTTTGAAGAAATAGTAAAACCTACCTGTTCGTTCTTTTAAGATTTCCCGTAAATCTTTTGCCACCAGTTCCTTGTTTTGGGTCATCTCTTCATCAATAACATTTTTGTGGATCTCCGTAAACTTCGCAGGCCTCCCCGCTTTTGGACGATCTGCGAGGCCAAATCCCTCCCCCCATCTTTTCAAATGTTTATATATTCCCCTTCTGGTTACTGTAATGTTGTCTTCTGTCAGAAGGACCTTAGCAATACTACTGACTCCGTGGCCAGCTTCTTTTAGAAGCACAATCCTTGTTCTAATATAATCGCTATACCCAGGCATTTTTGAGAGTGAAGGGTTTATGAAAATTCCCACTTTTTATACAGTATTTTATGCAATATGACACAATGACAGGTAAACACAACTGCCAAGATTAGAGAAAATAATTATACTCAAAATGTCAACCTTTTGGCATTTAAACACCTTGATTGCAATCAAGTGCTGAATTGAGTTCGCAAACCACCCGTTTTACTGTTGCTTATCTAATTGATCTCAGCGTGCCTTGCCATGTCACAAACAACACCCTATTCAGGTGCCAAAGCCCGATTTTGGACCGGGGAGAGTCATAATTAAAGGTGTTTATTTTTACAAATTGATGATGAAGGGCTAGATTAATTAGACAGCTTGATTTAGGTTTGTCAACTGCCACATCGACACGCGCTACCTGTGAGCGTGTGCCTTTACATGTACACTCATTAAGCGTTCTGAAATACTTAAATAATTTTGATTTCATAAGTCAAATGTGTTAATTATTACAAAATGACAAAAATGAAATAAAAAATACGTGCATTAATCACCTGCTGTAAAGAGTTTTAATTATGTGTTTGGTTGAAATTCGTTTAAATTTCAAGTTTGATGAACAGCGTTATCATAGCAAAAGATGCAATCTTTTCTGTCCACTGCTGTTTAGAGTATATACAATTGATTGGTAGGTTGTTAATGTGCACTGTATTTAATGATATTTCTTGTTTATCCCTTGACTTTGAGTGCAGAAATCCTGCTGAAGCAGTGCGAAGTGCATACAATAAAATCGCAATCTGTAATTTCACAGGCAGTCAAACATTTACTGTACTGCACTGTTAGACTTAGGGTAGTAATTAAATCATTTAAACTGAATAATATTTAAGAATGAATTCAAAAAAAGTTTCTTCTAGAAAAGCCTAATTTCGTTTAAATTTTATTTGAATAACCTTCACTTTGCAATCTTGCTTTTAGGCTCAGTTGCTGCAGACGAATGTAATTTTTAGCTTTATTTCCCTACTAACTGTTATTATCGGCAGCAATTAAGTCCAGCAAGGCGGAAGACACCTTTTGATCGTCCTGATGCGAGATATGATCAGCGATTAAGCCAAAGCACGCGTAGGTCACTCTCTACATTGTTCTGACACGAGGTATGAAGAGGTGACACTAACTCTGTTTCCACGGAATTTGATATTTTCAGCAAATGTTATTATAGGAGGAAATTGGAGGGCAGGCAATTTCTTCGAAATTACATACACAGTTTTCATCGACACTCAAATAGCAAATTGACAATAAAATGATAACCATTTATAAAAAAAATATTCATGACATCACTATAATTAAGTCCCCCCTAATCCACTGATTGGCCAAGAATTTTGTAATGTTAGATGAAAATTAATCTTTCTGCACGTCGATTTACAGATAATATTACGCAAAATAGGATTATAAAATGTTCAGTTAAATTTTATTTAGCAGTAATTCATTTTAAATCACAACATATTTTTTCTAATTATCCATTCGTCTAAACCATTATACCTCTTATTATAGATTAATACATTGGTCACTGAACACATCAAGTTTAATTTTTTTGCATTCACGGCCCGGAATTTGCTTCAGGAACCCAGGCGCGTTAATTATAAGTACCTGAATTTGAAAGGACGGCTTGTTAACTTAAATAGAGCATTGCGTTTACCTCTGACTAAAAATGGCTTCATTTTTCTGGTATAAGTATGGTCACACAGGAGGACTTTTCAATCACATTCCGTTTCACGGGATAAGTGCTGTTACAGAAGGGTTCCTAGAGACTAAACAGTTCCAGTAAGATCAAGCCAAAAGAAAACCAAGAAGATCATGTCTTCTCGACAGCCAGGAAAGATTGGTAAGTACAGATGAAAATGAAATCATGTCTTTCGCATTCCTGTTCCCAACCAAAGTTGAGCCCTGGCTCTCTCCAAAAAGTATACCCCCCCCCCCGCCCCATATTTATTTAACCATTTCACCCCTTCAGCCCTGATTGTTACATTTAACATCAATAGGAAAGATGTGAATTAAATTTGTTGTTGCTGGACCCAGTGACATTAATATAAGGTTGTTTTAATAGTACATAAAATCGCACCAAGAGCTCATTGGAGTACACATATATAATTACACCCTTTACAGCAACCGGACCCCTTAATTGATGTACACTGTACAATGCACGTATATACACTGCAATTGCCGCTTTCACCTCCTTTATTGTTCTGTATGAAAAGAAAGGAAGTTGTTTGAGTTTAGTTCAATAAAGGCAGTCCCTTAGTCCGAGGTGCACAGCTTTTAGCTTCTGTTGCAGATGATTTAACTTAAAATAAATTAACTGATATGCTGCTTTTTCTTTAGGGACTTTTAATTAGGCCACATTTGGAGTAAATATGAAATTATACTTGAAACATCTAAGTGAAATCTATCTTGACGTCCTGACAGATGTGTTTAGATAAACGTTTATGTACGAACGTTGCTTAGTACTGTATAGCAACTGCACATCTCCCGTCTCGACACAATGAAGAGATAACTTTGAGGGAAATTGTCAAGACTCTTTCTTCTATCATACCGGTATATTAATTATCGACGGAGTCGCACGACCAGAAATTACCACGTTTCGATGTTTAACTCAGTACTGTAGATCAAATTAACCTTTTCAGGTCTATGCCTGACATCACTTAACAAAACTCCAGCACAACATTGATTGCCAAGTGTGGTTGTTTTATGTCGGCGACACCATTTCAACCTTTGTAAAGTGTGACTTACTGCATTTCTTCAGAAATGCGGGCTATAAGCAAGCAAAATGATATACAGTATTTGCCCTTATAAATGCATTTGTATTTAAATATTTAGAATAGTGATAAAGTTGTTTTGAGACTGCCTGTTTTTCAAAATGTCCTCAACATTCCTCATATAAAGATGATAGTTGTCGAGAGAATTGTGTGCGATATGTTTCGAGAGGAGAATAGTACGTACGTAATTACATGTATACACAAGTACAGTTAATGTACGCTGCAGGAACAGGAAAATATTTCGGCGTCATTCTTCAAATATCAACTGTACAAGTGAGTCCCTTTTTTGATGCTTTTTAAGTTTCAATACAAGTAAATGACTGTCCCACAGACCAGTTGTACAAATGTTTTTCGATTTTTTCTTAAATATGTATGTTTACATGTGTGGTGTATCAAACTCCATCGCATTGAAGGATGAGACCAGCTTGTGACCACCCTTGCAGATAAAATCGCAACTACATTGTAGGGCTTCTTATCTGATGCACGTTTGCACGTTGTAATTGCTCCTTTCGCCCCCGTTATTGTTCTCTCAGAAAAGATAGGAAGTTGTCTTTGTCTTCAATATGTTTGAGCTTAGGCAGTCCCTTAGTCCCAGGTTCACAGCTTTTAGCCTCTGTTGCAGATGATTTTATTTAAACTAAATTAATTGATATACTGATTTTTTTCTTAATGCAATTATAAGTAAGCGACATTTAGAATATATATGTAACAATTATTACACTTGATACATCGTAGTGAAATTTATCTTGTCGTCTTGACAAATGTGTGTATATTTGTTTGTGGACCTTTAACAGTGCTGGAGAGGGTACACATTTGCACCCATCTTAGTGCCATGAAGAGTTTACTTCCTAATCTCTGTAGTGGCGATGCTCTTCATAGTAAATTTTTTAATATCATTCAACTAGAAAAAAAGACATTTTCATAAATTAACCAAGGCTTATAAACACGTCCTGAAATAATGATAATGTACAGCGTATTTAATTTTTTTGTTTATTTTTATTGACTTGTAGATTGAGTGTTATGTTGCCAAATACTATTATTTGCAGACAGATATGCAGTGGTAGAGTGCGATGATGGTGGAGTCGTTAGTGTCGACACGTCAAAGTTAACGACGGTAGACGGGGGGAAAGTAATGGTTGGGGCCCAAGTTACCTGTCCGTGGCCCACAGAGGAAGATCCCAATGCTGAATGCACCGGAGTTGTCGTCTTCACCTCTAGTAAGCCATCCTACTCCTTATATTTCATCGATAATGCATGTGGAGGTGGTTTAACTGGGATACGCTCATGTGCATTCTCTAAATATTAGTAATGAATATATTCATAATATTTCATGGTGCTTTTTGTTTGATGGAATTGAAGTTTAATAATAATTAAATTAAAACAAATATATCTAAGTGAAATTGTGGGCACCTTTCAAATTTCATACAACAGCATAAATAAATGCACTTAAAATTTGCACTTTTTAGATTCAAAGTCAGCCCAGGTCCAAAAAGAGAGGGAACTGGTTGACAGTGAGGAAAGTGAGAGCGAGGAAGGCAGTACCGTTTTTGAAAACTCAAGCACTTCTGCGGAGGCGAGCCCCGAGACCGTCACAGCAACGCCTAGACAAAAAAGAAAGAAGTGTAGCCGACGTCCAGCCGCACAACCCAAGAAAAAAAAACAACAAGTACGTAAATATCCGCAGTCTTAACGCAATGAACTGAAATACTCGATATATTTAATTTATATGCTGTTGCAATATGGTAAATGGCTTCAGTAATGTGATTTTCCCCATTTTGCCAATGGGAGATCAAGGTTTTTGGGCAAGATTAATCCTGGTACTGTACATGTATATGTGTTATTTTGCCCTCTTTCTTCACTGTTGTATCTACAATGTTGTATCATACAATGAAAATATTTTCATACTTGTAATGACAATTTTTTCTTATCTAGGGTATTACAGTTTTAGCCTCGGGCAGCCCTGGAGCCACAGAGCCCGAGCCCCAGTCACCTACGATAATCAGGTGCGAATGTCGTCCGGCTTTAGTTAAAATTCAGGAGATGGTGCAGGAGAATAACACACTATTAAAGGATCTGCTGGGAAGAGTGTCGACAGGAGACATCCCGACGGTGTCCGAAGTTTCCTCTACAGCCTCTGTAGCTAGGACGCCGGCAGCTTCTTTAACAGCCTTTGCAACAGCCAGGACCGTCGGTTTAGGACACGCCCCCTCAGAAACCTCCTCTCAAGTACCA